ACCCAGGATGGGACTGCCTAGGCAGGCGGCCGGGCACTGGCCAGTGAGGCTTCGGTTTGATCTCAGCCTGCTATTTGCAGGCTGTGTGGCTGGAAGCAAGTGGTTTGGCTCAACCTCTCTGGCCTCAATTTCCTCATCTGTGGAATGGGAATACTCATAGCATCTACGTCCACGGTGGCTGTGAATCGGACACATCACCACGTATAAGGTTCTCAGGACTATTCCCATGGCCAGTCAGTGCACACGTTTTGGCCATTGACACTCAGTGCTGTATCCCTTCTCCTGGTGGAGCTTCGCCCCCTCGAGTTCACTACCTCACCTCAATGGCTCTTGAGACCTGCTTGACTGCACACATGTTCATATATTTGAACACGTTTGTGCATATAGCAGACATGCTTGGGACAGGATCTTCCTGTCCCACACACTCTTTTTGCAAAGCGACCTTGACCTTGTTCCATCAAAAGGCAGGGCCTAGGTTCCTTCCCTGGAGCCTAGGTGGACCTTTGCTCCTTCAGCCCTTAGGATGGGCAGAGGTGGAGAGGCAGGACTTCCAAGCCTCCCTCATGAAAGACCACGTGGCCCCATCTGCACCTTCCCCTGGGGAGCCCTGAGGCACCCTGAGGATGCCATGCCAGAGAAACCATGTGGAGAGATCCCCATTTGACTACAATGACATGACACCTTAAACCAGAACTGCCCAGCCAAGCCTCTTCTGAATTCCTGACCCACAGAAACCGTGAGAAATGATAAATGATTATTGCTGTTTTAAGCTGCTAAATTTTGGGGCAGTTTGTTACACAGCACAGATAACTAATACACCCTCCTTGGGGCCATAGATACTCAGCAGATATTTGGGTGCCTACTATGTGCCACCTATTAGTTAAATCAGGGTATATCCCCGACCCTTCATTCACTGATTCACTATTTGCTACTACGTGTCAGGCACTGTGGGATAAAACGAGACTCCTCTCTGTGGCTTTTCAATGGCCCACTGGCCTCCCTGCCCCCTCAGTGTGGGCCATCTGTTTCTGCTGCAGGGCCTTTGCACGTGAGATTCTCCTCCCTTGGGTCATCCAGGGGCAGCTCCTTTTTGCCATTCCAGGCTCAGCTCATGTGTCACACCCTCTGAGAGTCCTCCCTGACTCCTTAGATCTAAAGTAGTCCCCTAAGGGCCGGCCCATGGCTCACTTGGGAGAGTGCGGTGCTGATAACACCAAGGCCACGGGTTTGTATCCCTATGTAGTGATGGCTGGTTCACTCACTTGGGAGAGCGTGGTGCTGACAACACCAAGTCAAGGGTTAAGATCTCATTACTGGTCATCTTTAAAAAAAAAAAAATAATAATAATAATAAAATAAAGTAGTCCCCTAGTCACTCAATCACATGGCTTTATAAGGGTTTTACAGGGATTTTATTTTCTTATCTGAAATTACCATTTATCTGCTAGTTTGCTTTTGCCATGAGAGCGTGAGCTTCCTGAGAGCAGAGTCTCACCTGTCTTGTTCTTGACCAGGCGCACAGTTGGTCTTCAGCAGCCAGGGTCCTGGTGGGCACTTGTAGATGTGGTTGATCAGATGAATAAAGGCACAGATTGCAATCTCCAAGTTTCTTCAGGGTAAACACTAACAGACGAGGTTCTAGACCCTTGCTATCTGGTCTCTCTTCCCTGAAGGCACTCGAGCCACGCTATGTCCTCTTGGCATTTCTATAAGCCAACATGACCCTTCAGGTGGAAACTGGACCAAACAGAGCAGAAAACGGCTTTCACCTCCCTCATTCTAGACTCCATACTTCTGTTAATGAAGCCTCATACGGATGGACCTTTGTGACCATGCTTTTTTTTTTTTTTTCCTTTTTGTCTTTTTTCGTGACCAGCAACGGGATCGCAACCCTCGGTGTCGTGCCCGCACTGCGCTCAACCAGTGAGCGGACCGGTCTCTATATGGGATCTGAACCCTCGGCGGGAGCGCTGCCGCACTCCCAAGCGCCGCACTCTACCGAGTGTGCCACCGAGCCGGCCCCAACCATCCTTTAACTAAGACTCTTTGGGTTGAAAGAAATAAAAACCCACTCAGAGGAACTTTAAACAAAACAGGCAAGTGTTTGGGAAGGAATCGACTACTTCATAAAAATCTATGGCATCATGAAGCACTGTTGGGCCTCACAAGAGACCAAATCAGAAACTATTCGAAGCCATCTGAATTAGCTGCTTTGTCTGGCTACTGTCCCTGGGGCCACACGGTCTCTCATTTGCTCTTTGTCTTCATGCCACACATATGGTAGAAGGCTTTGTGCCCCCAGAGGAGACTGATGGGCACTTCCAAGTCCAGAGTCACTGTTCCCAGGAGAGGATCTGATTGGCTCATCTGTGCACCTCCCATCCAGTCATCTGTGACCAGGAGGCAGGGTCACACAGCACCGACATGGTCCTGAACTCTACCACTGTCGTGAGCAAGGCAATCTTCTGAGGACCCTCCGAGGATAAAGTCACCCGAGACAGACATTAAAAATATTGAACAGTCGGACACTGGGCCACCAGATGGACACTGGCCACACACTGAGGCAGGTCCTGAGGCCCCTGCTATGCCAGGCATACTCCCTTCCTACTTGCTGGTCATGAGAAATGGATGTCAGCCGTACCCCAAGTCTCCAAACTCCCAACACTCCAAAACCTGGTCCCTCACCCCACACAGGGCCAGACACACCTTAGGTTCCTGTTCTGGACTCTCCAAGACTCCTGTGAACTGTCCCTCTAGGATTCAGCTCATCCCTAGAGCTCATCCCCAGGGCTTGGTGGGTCCTGCTTCTGCCTCCAGGCTCATGCCCAGGGCTGGCCAAAATGACGGCAGTTCTGTTCACGGACTCCCCCTCCCAGGGCCATCCTTGGGGTGGATGTCACTGGCAGTGCCGTGTGCATGTGACATGGCCAGGTGGGAGGGAACCCACCTGATGTGGTCTCTGTGGTTTCACGCCCTGGGCCTGCCTCTGGCCCCTGGTGCAGCAGTCTGTGCTGCTGGAGCCCACTCAGCATGCTGGGGGCCCTGCAGAGAGGCTTCCTGGCAGCATCCGGTCCATCAACTTACTGTGGAGGGCAGGGACTGGGCTGAGCGGGTGCCGTGGAACCAGATGTTGAACAGTTGCTTGTGGTTATGTCCAGCTGTTCTGCCTGAGACCAGGTGTTTATTTTCTAAAGTAAAACAGAGAGTGGGGAACCACCATGTTACTAGGGGAGGAGACAGCTCCCTGCTAAGCTTGTGAACGACAACAAGCCATAAGATTTACAAGGTCCCCTTAGTGAAGTTGCTCTTAAGGAGAGGCTGTGCCTATAACGTATGTTCCCATTACAGCTCCAGAATCTACAAGCTTTCCCTCTTTAATGCATAGCATGCTTATACTTGGAGTTCCACTATGACCTTTAGGTCACTTTCTGCCACCTTTGAGAAAAGCCAGGTTTCCCAACTTAATTAGACTAGAACAGAATTATTATAGCTGAAAAGACCTGCACGAGGGCCCTGGCTGAGGCAGTAGTGGGGCTGTGATCGACCTGCTGCGCTCACCCAGCCGTGGACGCTGATATGGCTGCCCTCTCTTTCTATTTTTCACAAAGGTGGCTTATGGGCTAGCTGTGTCTGGCTGGAGGTTGCCTGGTCCCAGAGGCTTTCAAACTTTCTGGTCCAAAACCCACAGTGAGAGATACATTGCTTCAAAACCTTCCATTTTGAAAAATTTCAAAGATACAGAGAAGTGGGAAGAATTTCACAGTAAACACTCACATACTTATTCATTAGACTGTATCACTAATGTTTTACACTTGTTTTTATCTTTTTTTTTTGTTTGTTTGCGGCTGGCTGGTATGGTGATCCGAACCATGACTGTGGTGTTACAAGGCTGTCTCATTTGATGCATTTCAAAGTGTCAGACCTGTCACTCCTAAACACCTTTGAATGCGTGCCATTGACTAAAGTTCAATATTTTATAATTAATTTTTGGGTAAATCTTCATACCGTAAAACGCACAAATGTTAATGTACCCTTAGGTTTTGATAAATTTATGTACCTGTGTAACATAAACCCTGTCACCATATAGACTATTTCTATCACCCCAGAACATTCCCTCATGCTCCTTCAAGGTCGATTCCTGCCCCCAACCCCCAACTACTATTTTGACTTAGGAAATGCATTTTACCAGGTGGCCCAGAGCCCACACACCAAAACAAAACTTTAACAAAACGTAGCCTTAAGAATGCTGATCTCAATCCTCGACACTGATTTCTTGACCCACTAATAATTTGCTACCAGCTGTTTACAAAACATGGGTCTAGGTGCCGACCCCCTAAACACAGATGGGAAACTAACGTCCTCACCAACCCCACTTTCTCACTGTAGGTTTTAAGCGCCAATGGCATCGCCCAGCGGACGTTTCTGTTCTTTATCTTCCTTTTTTTAACAGGGACCATTCATGCTCCCCAAGTCCCGCCTGCTCCCGGGACGTCCCCCTCTGGGACCGCAGCGCGCTTCTCCGCGGCGGCCACCGCCCGCCTGGGGCGCATCGTGCGGCGCGTTGGTGGCGGGCACCCGGCGCGGTGACGCCTCGGGTCAGGAGCTCTAAGGTGCCAAGAGCCCGCGCTGTCCTTCAGCGCCGGCGTCGTGCACACAGCCTGTTTCTTCCTCTTCCTTCGTGACAGCCGGGCAGGGACGCAACTTGCACGCCGCAGAGCTCGCCCTCTGACGAGCGTGCCCTTCGGGCATCGACGCGCTCCGAGCGGGCGCGGCTGTCGACCCCGCACTCCCGCCTGCGGCACGCGGAGGAAGGCTGCAGTCCCGCGGCGCGAAGGTTCCTGCGGCACCGCGTGCGCGCCGTCTCCGGGGATGTGCTGGCTTCGGCGCGTGCGCGTGGTCTCCGGGACTGCGCTCACCTGGGCGCATGCGCGGGGCTCCCCCGGGGCTGCGCATGTCTCGGCGCACTCGCGCGGTTCTCCAGACCAGCGCTCGCCTCGGCGCATGCGCGTGGCTCTAGGCGCTGCGGAGCTGCGCCGGCTTCGGCGCATGCGCGCGGTTCGGCCACTTCCTGCTCCCCGCGCTCGCCTGCTGGGCCGGCCAAAGGCGGGTTTGGGGGCGGGGCCGGGGCGCGGCGCGAAAATCGGCGGGAACCGCGCGCCATCCCTTACCC